TGGGGTGGCAGTGAGTGCTGGCTCACCTCCCATCCGCAACGTCACCGTGGCCTACAAGTTCCACATGGGGCCCTATGGTGAGACCGGGCGGCTTTTCACAGAGAGCTGCAGCATCTCCCCCAAGCTCCGCTCCATTGCCGTCTACTATGACAACCCCCATGTGGTAAGGAGCCTCTTGTGCCCTGGCTGGGGTTCTGCCCCATGGACAGACATGAGGCAGGGCTTGTTGGGTGAGGGGCGTTTTTGGTTTCTGAGGAGGGGGTGGGAAAATGTTTGAACTGGCCCTGCAGACCACCTCCTCTCTGAGCTTAAAGCTCCTTCCAGATTTAGTCTGGACTTCTGCTCCAGGCATCCATATGCTGGCTTTTTGCTTGTCCAGATCTGATTCCCCTGGCCCATGGCTACCCATGGACTTCTGAGTGCAGGGGGCCACAACAGTGTGAGTCCCTAGCCTCTACTGGGGCTTTGGTCTATTGCTTCCTCTTCTCGCTGTCCCTCCCTCTTCCAGCCCCATTTGAGGCCAGCGCTCTAAGGCCAGGCCATTCCGATTCCACCCTATCTTTGAGGTCCTATCTTGTTTCTGTGCCTTCCCTCTTTCAGCTCTCCTACTAAAAGAAGGTGGAATCCCACCTCTCTAACCATTGTGGTGTCCCCTGGCCCTGTGGTATGGCATTTCTTTTGATATCAAGCTGCCTGGTTAGGATAGGGCCTGGGGCGGCAAGTGGAGCCAGGTGAGCTGTCCAGGATGCTAGGGTCGTAGACTAACCTGGCATCCCTGGCATCCTGTGGGTGCATGGCTATACTTACAGCCTATGGTGACTCAGGACTCACCAATGTGGCCTCCTGCCATGTCATGCGATGGTGCTGCCCACAGCTGCATGGGCTGGCAGCTCTGCCAAGAGTCCTACGGCCTCTAGTGCAAGCACTGGGAATCCCCAACTCTGTTCTCTTGCCCTAGAGAGCTCAAGTGGGCAAGGCCTATAGCCTACACACTGTCTGCTGACCGGGCCTTGTTGGGGTGCTCTGTTGAAACAAAGGTGTGCTCACTCCCTCTCTGTGCCAGGTTCTTCTTGACACCTGCACTCTGGAGATGAACAGACCTGGCCCTGCCCTCCAGAAGCTTTGTGTGGTTGGCATGTCATCCCTACACAAATGAATATCCAGCAGGGCACTGTGCTCAGTGCCCACATAGCTTTGAGCTATGGGTTTTCAGAGCATGCCTCCAGTCTGCTGGGGAGGCTCAGAGAGGAAGTCTTCTGCCATGGATAGAATTTTGCTCTCCTGGGAAGGGCCTCCTGCCTAAGGGAACTACAGCTGCACAGGCCTACAGACATAAGGTGACAGGGGAAGTGTGTCCAGTGGACACATGATGAGGGGAGAAAGAGGTAGAAGGGTTTGCTGGCCAAGGCAGTGGGAGGTACAGTAGGCTGGGAGGAAGGGTGCAGCACAGTTTGCCACCTGCAGTTTAGGAAACTACAGGGTAGTAGGTGGAAGAGGGATAGAGTTGAGGCAGGGGGCCATTGCAGACATTGAGCTGGGCTTGGGTGAGAGGTGACCTGGCCTGGATGAGGGATGAGTAGAAATTGAGGTTTTGAGGTCACGTGGCTGGGAGATGCCACTAAATGGGAGTCAAGAGCACTGGGGCCCAAGTGGGATGGGGCAGATGCTGGGCTATGAGAAGCTCCTAGACCAGATGCCAGACCCCCACCCTTACAGGATTCCGGTCTGTAAGTCCCTGCCCCTCCTTCCACACCTAACCCAGTTGGAACCTTTTGCAAGACCTCAGTGGGAGGGATGAGAATCCTTGCAGCTGCCTTTTTCCTCATCAGCATGTCCTGTTCTGGAAGCAGTATGTTGCCTTTTGGGTTGAAAGTGCTAATTCCAGGATGGGAAAGGGCCCAGGCAGTGGGGTACCTTGCGGTCAGTGCTGGAGGCTGGTCCAGGGAAAAGTGAGATAGAAGAATCCTGGCATGGGGCACTCTTTCCATGGCCTCATGACCCAGCCACCTCCAGGCAGCCCACCATACAGTTCTCCTAGAAGTATGGTGGATCCTCTGGGGTGATCCCTGGGTGTCTAGGATTGGCGGGGCACAGCCCGACTTGATACCAGTCTAAGGGTCCATGACCTGAGAGTACAGCCTTGAGGCCAGTAATTCTGTCTCACCACTGTCCTGCCGTGTGATCTGGGCATATCACATTCCCTCTGTGAGCCTCCCATTTTCTCCTCTGTGGAGTCATGTTAAAGTACCTGCTTATAGGTAGGCTGGCAGGGGTTAAATTAAGTGACATAGGTGAGGCATTCACCCCAGCACCTGGCCCTCAACAGAACTCTAACAACAACAACAACAACAAAAGGGTGGAAAAAACATTCATGCTAATTAGTTGTGATGAGGGATTGTTAGGCTGGGCACTCATAACCCAGGCCTAGACCCTGTGAACATCTGGTTGGCACAGACGATGGACATATAGGTCAAAGTGGCCACTCTGACCCTGTCCATCCTGGTCCTGGGTCACTCCAGGAAACACTTGAGTTCCCATTTAGAGTTGTGTCGCACCTTGAACCTGGGATGGCTCAGGGATGCTTAGTCTCCATGTGCTCTAGAAGCTGGGCAGTGTGATCTCTGCCTGGCGGAGATCCTGAAAGGTTCAGGGAACCCTGGACCCCCAGGCTTCGGGTGCTCATGGCTGTCACAGGCTGATCTATAAGGACCTGAGGCCTCTGGGTCCACACTACTGATATTATAGAGGAGGAGACTAAGGAGCAGATAGGAGCTGGGGTGCTATCTCACACAGTTTAATCATGCTCTTTAATTTCATTTAACAAAGATTTGAGCACCTGCTCTATGCCACTCTATCCTGGGCACTAGGGCACTATGGAGACCAAGAGGCCCAGCCCTCAGGAACTCTCAGTGGGCAAGGGGTATCAGGGAAGCCTAAAGGAGAGGCCTTATCTGGTCCTAGGGAAGGGAAGAGCCCAAGCTTTCTGTTCCCTAGCTGCCTCCCACAGTGGTGTTCAGCATGGGGCCCTGTATATTGTGGTTCACAGAAGGAAGAGACAGGATGTAGGCTGCTGAGCTGTTGAGTGTCCCATCCCCACTCCACCCTCCCTAGCACAGCACAACAGGAACTAAAACCTGCTTCTCTGTGAGTGTGGGAGAAAGTAAGGCTATTTCAGGCTCTGTGAGTGGGGCAGTGAGTGACCAGGTGAGGGATGGCCACATGCTGTGTGTGCTGCTCACCCCCATGAGGTATGGACTAACAGCTCCCCAGCCATGCCCCTTCCAGACCTCAGCTGGGCAAGGGGAGGCTGGTTCCTGAGAAAAGCCTGGTGAGGCCTCACTTGGTCTGACTCTGGGCCCAGGAAGTGACACAGGAAAGGGCACCACCACAGTAAGATTGTGGCAATTGCCACATCCTGGGGACACATGTATGTATGTATGTATGTATGTATGTATGTATGAATGTATGTCAGCCAGCCAGCCAGCCAGCCAGCTGGCCCTCTCTCCTGGAGTCGTTTTTTGGGAAGAGGCTGTAAGATCTGGGCGAGTGATTATTGTGGTACAGGAAGGATTCCATTCTCCATCCCTGAGGACCTTGATAGTAATAGGGGGAGGAAGGAAGGAGTATGTGGCAGGAAGTTGACAGACCCTGGCAGTGGCTCATAGGTGTCCCTCTGCACTCCCGGGCTCAGCATTCATGGAGTGTGGCCATTTCCTCTTCTAAATACCAAAGAAGGGAGTGAGTTCCAGAGTCAGGGATCTGTCTTCACCCCTCCACCCTATCTCCCTACCTCCCTCAGTGCGTGCGTGCTCACACACACATATCCAGTACTGCTCTGTCCTCTCCCCTACTGCTGAGGTGGGGGCTGGTGGGGTTGGACAGTGACTTTTGCCTCCCCTTGGGTGTTAGGAAGGAGCTGGAGAGGACCCTGAGCGCCTCATATGATCCTGACCATATGAGTCTGACCAGTTCTGTCCTGTCTGCTAGCCTGGCCCTCCACCTCCTGCCCCACCCTCTGCTGCCACCGCCTCTGCTGCTGTCTTTGGGGCTTAAGTAACCTACCTATCTGCCCTTGTGGGGAGCTTGGCTGAGGTAAGTGGGGCGTGGCAGCCGGTTCAGTTTACCTGGCCAAGGAGGAGGTGCTTGCCCCAGGCTTGGAGTGATGGGGATGGGAATGGGTGGCGCTTGGGTTCTGCCTTTAGTAAGCTAGACTGCATTAGACCTCCTTTCCCCCCTAGACCACTGAGAGACGGCCTGGGGCCACCAAGTCTACAGGGCCTAAGGCTGGTAAGAGTTTGTTGCCCCTCTTCCCCTTCAATGTGTGTAGGGGGATGGGGCCCCCCCTGTTCTCCCTGGAAACTCTGAGGTCCCATGGATCCTGGGAATAGTTGGGGTGAGGGAGTAGAATTTCCCTGAATTGAGCCCTCAACAGGATCAGTGGGAATGTGAGCTGGGCTGATGCTTCCTGAAGGCCCAGGCCATCCCATACCCCCATTACCTGGTAATGATTTTTGGCCAGATGGAGTCCAGGCTTTTGCTCTGCAACAGGT